ATTAAGATAAAAGAGACAGACTCAGAAAGAAACGGAGAAATTAAACAGATTGTCAGTCTATCTCTAATTTCTTTCTATAAAGACAAAGAGAGGAATTATCTGGGTGAAACCGATTAGAATGCATAAAGAAACGTTCTTTGTTTAATAACAGAGCCATTGTTAAAGCAAAAGTGAGAATAGAAAGGCTTCACAGAGGATCTGTTAGAGGTAAGAGAGAGGGGAAAAGATGGCAAGACATTCTGTTGGTAGTAAAGAAGAGAAGAACGAATGTGGGATTCTTTTAGGGGCAACTGAGTTGAAAAAGTTTGGTTTGACTTGGCCAGGTCCTCTGTTCGAGTCAAAAAAAAAAGATATTTCAGTGGAAAATATATGTTAAGAGAAAGATAGATAAGAAGAAGTTAGCCTTTCTTTCTCGCGTTAGGTAACTTGAACGGGTGTAACAGCAAAATTGTCCAAATCGTGTAACAGCAAAATTGTCCATTTCTTAGATTAAGTTCTGAACAATTATATCTTAGAAATGATTAAAGATATCATACTGGAATTCTCCGGGGTTTTTATAACACCATTGAATTCTACTTTGATCAATAAGAATGTATAATTACTCTCTAAGCTTAAGTATCGTGATGAAATCGATCATAAACGAAAATGACATGTTCATCATTCATTAATCATAGCTTTGATCGGAATCTCATGAAGGATTGAAATAAAGTTCAAAATATATATATATATATATATATATATATATATATGTGTGTGTGTGTGTGTGTGTGTGTGTGTGTGTGTTACTCCAGGATCTTTTTACAACTTATTGAAGATGATCTTCGCCCTCTCTAAACTTCTAACATTCTGTCCTGGAGTAATAAGGTGCCTCACAGGTTTCACGTATGATTTCATTTTCAAGCCTTTTTTTTTCACTGATCTTTGGACTGTCATAGCTGAAACTCCTCTCTCACGTGCGAAACGGCTTATGAATTGAGTTGGATCTTTTCTAATTGATCTCTTCCGCTCTAAGTTGAAATAATGATCCCTCTTGCTGTTGTGACCTCCTGATCAGTTTTCCTCTTTTTTCCGCTTTTTTAAAACTTATTCACCGTTCTCTCGATGGTTCTTGAAAGGACCTTGAAAATAGAAACCAGAGTATGATTGTTGCTACCATTACTGAAGGGCTGAAGGATTTGTTACTCTCACCATTGCTCAAAATTGTTATATTACAAAAAGAATTCGTCGCAAAAAATCACGTTAAAATCGCCGAAAACAATCGCAGTAATAAAAAATTGGGAATCCAAAATTTCAGGATTGCGGATCCAGATCCAGCCCCAAATGTTTTTAATTTGCTCATGGAATCGGTCTGATTCCAAAATGATAGGATATGTTGGAGTAAAGCTGAAAAAGTGTAACAGTTTTTTTTGGGTTTTGGGGGTTTTTTTTTTAAGCGTTTCACCCCAAGCAAGGCGGGGAGTCACTAGCACGCAAGGGGTTACAGAGAGTTGGGGCGAGAGCAAAGAGGAGTGATAGAGGAAAGGATGAAGAGAAGGATAGGGGGATAGATCAAGGCATCTGGAGACATCGATTGACATTACATTTGAATAGTTAGAGAATATAGCTATCAGGGAAACAAGAAAAGGAGAGGGAGTTCCACAGTCGAGAAGTGCAAGACATGAAGCTATTGGAGTAGAAGAGGCGGCTACATTTAACAGTTTCGACAGTGAAAGGGTGAGAGCGAGATGCCAGCCTAGTTGAACGCTTAAATTCATGAAGTCTGGGAACCAGTGAAATCAGCTCACCGGGGCAGTTACCATGAAAGTATTTGTAAAAAAAGACAGAGGGAGGCGACGGCACGTCTGTGAGAGAGCGACTGCAGACGAGATGCCAGATCAGGGCCAATTACATTGGATATCCGTCTCTGGATTTTATCAAGGACCTTGAGACAAACAGAAGGGGCATCAGACCATATATGGCAGCAATCCTCCATGCAAGGGCGAATGGTTGATTTTCGTAGATTTGAAGGATCGATTCCGGGGAGAAAAATTTCCTGGCGCGGCACAGGGAGCCGACTTTCCTTGCGGTAGATGAAGCTATTGACTCAATGTATTTGTTCCATCTCATGTTAGGAGACAATGTGAGACTGAGCAGTCGCAAAGAGGTGTTCTCATAGAGTTGAGCGTCAAACATTCTAATGGGGGGGGATGGTTGTCTCTGGTGAGTAATAGAGATCAGTTACATTCGCATTTATGATATCTATATCATGGATAGAACCTGTGAATATAAGAGTAGATACTTTTCGCCTTGGATGTGTTGTAGGGTTAGAGCAAGGTGATTTGGAACGGCAGACACGTTCATCAATCCGGACGAGAGAAAGGCATACTCCGCGCATTTGTGGTGCGCAATTCGAGCCTCTCTTCTGCACACGCCTCAGAAACAGGACAGGCCCTATATGAAAGCGGTATCACATATATACAACGAGAAACCCATCGGCTCGCATCACGAGTAACACAAAATGTTACGCATATAAAACCTCTCTTGGCAAAGAACATCCTTCTTTGAATATTGTGGACAGACGCTATACAATGTCAAGCAAGGAACTATACCAAATAACAGAAACCACAAAATTTGAGAACTTTATTTACATTATTCGGACGACTGTCCTCATCTTTGTCGCCATATTTATTACAACGTTTCGGCCGTTGTACGCTCCGGCCTTCTTCAGGTGGTTGGAATGTCGAACTGAATCCTTTATTTTACTCACTGGGGTAGACTGTTCTAGTTCCACATGACATGTTTAATGGATGTCAGTTATCAGTTATCTCCTGTTTATTCCCCTCTCCAAGTTCTCCACTGCCTTAACCAGGTATTGAACTGACACTCTTTGGGTCCTGTCACTGGATCTAACTGACGCCTTTATCTACTGTCAACAACTACACAGCCAAAATAGATAGCGCATGTATACACTTCTAATAGAAGTTTCGGAAAAAAACGCGCATCAATATTTGAAAGAGCGATAACAGCTAGTGGACTTGAGAATCCTGTTTTCCTAGAAGAATGTTTTAAGAGATAAATTTAATAAATTTCAACCGAAAATAGTAATGGCTGCTCAATCAATGAATACCAAATATTTCTTTGTTAGGAAACAATTAATATTACCATTATATATATATATATATATATATATATATATATATATATATATATATATATATATATATATATATATATTATGAAATGGATAAAATCCGACAATTATTTTAAGACATTTTTTATGTTTATACGTTCTTTTATATATACAAATATTTAAGTAAATTCCCTGTGTTTTATCATAAACAGTATTAACAACATTTCCTGTCAGAGGACGCATATTTTCTATGAAAATTTCTAAAGACATTCAGTATCGGTAAATGTCGTTATTGTTACTGGAAAAAATTTAATCCAAAAAATAACATTTATCTATCAATGAAAATATTTGTACTTTTCTCTTATAAAAAGAACGTACAAACATAAAAATGTTTATATGGTGGACTCACCCGTCATATTCGACGTATGAGGGTCATGCAGCACAGTTCTTATTGCGTGCGTGCGTGTGTGTGCATATATATATATATATGTGTGTGTGTGTATGTGTGTGTGCGTGTGTGTGTGTATTTAAAAAAAATTCTCACGTTCTAGGTTCGAATAGGAATTTAGGTATACTCAATGAATACAGTTTCCACAAAAAAAAACCTTCCACTGAATCACTACAATCCTAATCGTGGCAAACGACCAGCCTAAAACTATTAAATCTCTTTGGTAATATAATATAATGGTTAGTAGTTTGGAACCAGAAATTGGTCGAGTTTGTTAGTCACTTTGCAGAAATACCCTTCGGAAAAATATAAATCTATTTCTCATGTATCTTAAAGAGAAAATAATGACATATTCAAGATATTAACATCCTTTATTTCGCTCACTGGGGTAGACTGTTCTAGTTCCATGTGCCATGTTTAATGGATGTCAATTATCAGTTATCCCCTCTCCAATTTCTCCACTGCCTTAACCAGGTATTGAACTCACCTTCTTTGGGTCCTGTCATTGGAACTAACTAACGCCTTTATCCTCAAGGACACATATATAAGCTACAATTCAAAAGTTTAAAGCCACCCCCCAGAATTACCATGAGATGAACTTAACAGAAGAGTGAAAAAAAAAAATGAAAAAGAGCTCTTAAAGTCATTGAAAAAAGAATGGAATCAATTATCAAACTTATACTTTGAGAAACTTTTGCAATGAATGTCAAAAATTTGTGCTTCAGTAATCAAAGACAAGGAAGGATATTTAAAATACCAAACAACTACTTTTGGAGCCAGTTTCAAAAATTACCAGGAGTTCCTCAAACTTTTGAACTGTAGTGTATAACGTGTATGAATATGACAATAGCACACTTACATATTCAAAATTCGTTCAGTTTCACTTAAAAGCTTTGATAAAAGAAACTATTCATATTTTATTTTCTAAAATAACAGATTTACTTTATATCAGGTCACTTTTATGAAGGCAAACTGGTAACATGTAAACCAGTACGATTTGCCGCATTGTTGGGCCACCATTAGTTCTTTCACCAAACTTTTCTGATCATGATGGTGGCTAGCTACACATCAGGATTAAAAGAAAAGAACTATCAAAGGTTGGGAGGAACATTCCTGTTGGGTCAACGACCATCGAGCACAATGGGAGAAACTGGGCTTCATACCAATGTATATTTTTTTCATGATGTTCACTCTATATAATGCCCAAGAGCCATACAAGGTAGAGGGTTACAGGGTAAGAGAAATAGTTTATGCGGATATGTGGGGAAAATAACTGTTGAACCTAGACTTGAACAGGTTAAGATTATAGTGATCGGGGAAGTATCCTTTTGGGAGTTGGTCCCACAGAGCAGCGGTTCGTGATCAGAATTTGTTCGGGTGGAACGTATATCTCACAAATGAAATACAAAGGGGACGAGTGTGGTTGGTTACAATGGGCGTGGCATGGTAGGTTTTCTTCTATGGGCCGTGTTCTTTCTTTCTTTCTTTCTTTCTTTCTTTCTTTCTTTCTTCTTCTTCTTCTTCTTCTTCTTATTATTATTATTATTCTTTCAGGCCGTGGGCAATCATGGCTCTCCACAACTTCGTGTCTTTTTTAACTCTTAGTAAAGGTTGCCGTTTTGTTCTGTATCCACTAATCATTGTTCTGTCAACCATTTAATATTATATTAGAGTTCAAATACTCAAGGCAGTATTGTGTGTATGTTGTGGCCTGTTTAGGGACCAGAAAAGAAAGACACAGAAGACAAAGGTAGGTTGAAAAAGTAGATTGAAGATCTATACAAAACAATAGTGTTAGTAATAAGGAGATTAGCACTGCGTCTACTACTCCACTTCACTTCCCACTCTTCCACCAGTATCCGACTCTTGCAGTTTGTACAGGGTGACCCCAAAAAACGGGAATTTTTTAAATGCGTATTGCCAGACATGAGCAAGTGGCAACACTGCGAGAGAGTCACCTTGAACAAGTAAACATTTCGCCATTTAGAATTCAAGATGAAATTCACAGTATCCCAGCTGAAATATTGCAGCAGTCAATGAGGAATCTCAACAGCAGATTTCAAGAATGCATTCGTACAGGAGGACGCCATCTACAGGACGTAATTTTTAAAACATGAAAATTCCATCATTGTTTCTTAAATGGCATGTTTTAATGTTTCAATTACTATGAATAAAATATTTTTCTTCCATCACTCTTGGTTTTATTGGATTATTAAAAAGTTCCCGTTTTTTGGGGGTCACCCTATATTTATGAGAGAAGGAAGAGTTCATTATACTGTAAGAGGGTTTACCACAACAATGTATTAATAAAATGATTTTTTATTTTGTTTTTACTAAAATAAAATATAAGTATCCTTCTATAGAAATTTCTCAAGGCTCTTCTAACAAAAACATTGATGCCAATATATTATGGTTCATATATCCAAAGTAACAGTGAATTTATTAATAAATATAAAAACAAAACAGTCTTATATGGCAATTCACAATCGAAGTCCTAACGAAAATATTGGTGGCAATATTGTTTCAAATATCCAAATTTGCAGTGAATTTATTAAATTTAATTTTCGACCACAATAAAACAGAAGCAGTCTTCATAAGGTAAAGAACAAATAGGAAACGTTCATCAAATCTAACATGTTTCCCTTTTATTAAAGCTTCATCAGAGAATGGGATGTGAAGAAAAAGAATAAAGACAATCTGGTATTTTTACTTTTGTGATGTTTGATTATCGTTCATTAAGCCCATTTCACGAGCATTCCCCAATTAAAACCAACGTTTGTATAATTTGTGGCGTTCTGAATTCAAGGAGAGACGACACGTCCTTTCGAAGCTCCAAGAAATGAATGGATTCCAAGCCTAACTGAAAAACCGTAAATATTGCTTTATGCATGTAAGTGTATCATAATTCCAGTTTGTCTCTGTGGGACTCAGACGATAATGTTTATTCGTAAGTGTGTGTTTATCTAGTAGACATGTTTCTTGGCTTTCGCATCTTGTTTTAGGAACATTTTTACGTACATAATATTTGTTTTAGATAAACATACATTCGATTCTTTAAGAATGGATTCAATAACGGTTGGTGATGTAATATGTTTTGACGTGTGTTTATAGTTGGTAATATTGTTACTAGCTTTCGAAATACTTCGTAATGAATTATGTTCTTTTCTAATTAGGGCGGCAGTAGTAAAAACAAGGTTATGACCAGTTTTAGCTATGTGAATTAAGAGACAGTTTAAATGGCTGTCTAAACGTAAGTCTCTTTTATGTTCGTAGATACGGGCTTTTAGATCTCGTGACGTTTGTCCTATATAAATTATTTTACATTGTAAACAATTTATATGAGAAGTACCGGCATCAGAATTGGTGTTGAATTTATTTTTCTTCCAAATTATAGCCCCGGTTTTCTTGGACGTGTTGATAAAGATCCTAATATTAGGTATAACTAATTTATTTACACGTTTAGCAGAAAGTGTGTTAGAGTTTAAGATTATGAATTTTGTGTTGTTGTTAGAAATGCTATTTCGATCTATATTTGATCTATATTTCACCCTAAATCATAAATAGGTTTATATAGCAATTTTAAAAGCAATATTTCACTCTATAAGAAACATTGATGGCATTCTTTGACGGTTTAAATATTGAAGGTAATAGAGATTAATTTTATTATGTATAACAAAAGACCAGTTGTCTAATAAAGTCAATATAAACTGATATCAAAATGGGAGCACCTAGAGTATATTCCTCTAAGCATGTTGTGCTATGGCATTGTGCCAATCTATTACGCACACACTAAAACATACATACATACATACATACATACATACACAAATACAAATCACATACAACGACAAATATTCATTGGTCAATTAATCACCACTACGTTATTATAGACAATTTACAAATCGCAGCAATGCGACAATTTTGTAATCGCTCTATTTTCATGTAGTCAGTTTTGTGCACTTTTGGGAGAAATGGATCACAGAAGCTTTCTTAAGTCTCCCCAAAGCTCGCTCGCTGATTGGTCGATGCCTACCAATCAGATTGTCTGCACATGAAGAATAACTCTTCCCGCGCAGCGATCTGGAGCTAATAGTCACTTATTTAAGCAAGAAATTTCTAACCCTCTTTAGTGAGAATTTAGCTGCCAAACGAATCCACTACAGTTGAAACCATGCGCCAACCTTCTCACTCACACACACCACTCACATGCTAAACATTCCTTATACACTCACATAATCATTTCTGACACGGCATATCTTTTAAGAACAGTCATTATAAGACACTCTCATGAACATTCTTCCAGTGAACTTTGAAATAGTAAAATAACAGTTAAAGAAAGACAACTCACGTTTTCTTCAACCTTTTCTTACTTAAATGAATGCTTTCTTTCACATCGTTGTTTGATATTGTACATCTTGTTAAATACATATTTTATGTGTAACGATGTCTTTTGCCTATTCTTTTCCACGTCAGCCCTGTTTTCTAATCTAAAGTTAAATTAAATGTGGTGAAGTCCGCCACAACATAGCAAAAAGCCCAACCGGCATTTGTTGAAAATAAAGAAGAAAAATAAAAGACTTTATCTGATCAGTAACTTGATCGTTTCCTCTAAAAACTTTTGCTTCTTTTCCTATGGTCACGTTTTCGTGATAAAAAAAAAAATTGGTATTGATAAATGCTATCGTACAAATGATAGCAATTTCCCACCCACATCGAGAGATTCTGACCACAGCTTTATACGATCTCACAACTGAAGCACTTGGAAGGTAAGTTAATTGGCAAGAGACGAAGATTGGTAGATAAAAAAATCCTCTATTATTTCATTATATATTTTAATTAGAGAAATTATCATCTGCCAATTAGGGCCGAATTATGAAATGGTTTACTCGAAACTTCCTTTTTTTTCGGTAATGGCTTCTCGTAACTTGAAGCTGATTTCCCTAATTAAATTCAAATATAGTCCAGTTCTTGAAAAGAAGCACATTTTTTAATAAGACTTTCGATTTCTTGGCCAGTATATGCAAATTTTATTGTTTTCAAAAAAACAGGGACGCCTACTTAAACATGTGTACCCACGACATTATAACCACTTTAATGATAACATATCGGATATATATATATATATATATATATATATATATATATATATATAACTGGACTTCGCTGTTTCGAGAGATGATGCGAGCTGGGAACTTCTGTTTGAACGTCCATTTTCGTAATAGGCTTCGATAACTTTAACACGTTGTTTGATTGTTAATCTTTCCATGGTTGAAATTGCCAAATACTTAAGTTGTTAAATCTGAAAGAAAAAGAAAACATCATTAGATGATTAAAGTTAATTCACATTTAAAACTGGTCCAAGTTATTGGAACAGCCTTTAATTCAGGCCGATGGAGTGGTTTGCTGCAATGGAAGTGGTATGGTGAGTCCTAACCATGAAGGTTAGACCTGGCGGAACGAAGGAATATAGTTCGTCTGAGCACCTTCCATGGTAGTAGCGATAGAGCAGTGAGAGTTTCGCCACATCTGACCTGAGAGAGAGAGAGAGAGATTGAAGGGTGGAAAATAATTCTTCTCCAACAAGGATTCTTAGACGCTTTTGAACTCTATCAAGACAGGAAAGTGTCGTCTGGGCAGATCCCGCCCAAATATGGCAACTCCATTTTCGACCTGATCTGTCTCTTATAAAAGTAGAGGATACCATGAGGAGTCAGGTACTCATTGGAGTGGTATAATTATCTATCTATCTATCTCAGCTTGTTCATATCTATCTATCTATCTATCTATCTATCTATCTATCTATCTCAGTCTGTTCATTTCTATGTCAGTTTGTTCATATCTATCTATCTATCTATCTATCTATCTATCTATCTATCTATCTAACTCAGTTTGTTCATATCTATCTATCTATCTATCTATCTATCTCAGTCTGTTCATATCTATCTATCGATCTCATTTTTTTTTCATATCTATATACCTATCCATCTAACTCAGTCTGTTCATATCTATCTATCTATCTATCTATCTATCTATCTATCTATCTATCTATCTATCTATCCATCCGTCCGCGCCTCGGCATTGTGCGATGGTCAGAGAAATCTCCTCTGGTTCACCATTAATACTGAGGAGGTGTTCGATCCTTACTCGATACGCTATACATAAATTTGATATCAAATAACCCAATAAGTTTCGACATATAAAATCACCCTTCTGCATGAAAAGAAAGAGTGATTTGTGTTGTCGACTGTGCCAAAGAACACTTAAAGACAGACAGTCAGACAGGCAGACAGAGGGAGATATGAGAAGGGCGGAAATATTCTAGAAAAAAAACAAAACATTCACGTTTTTTTCCTCTTGTAAAAAAAGTACGATGACAAAGCAGAGATCGTTTCTTTTTATCTTAATAAGTTCGCTGTGACTAAAGGGAAATTAAGTTGTCCTGGCATTTCTACACACGCACACACACACACAGACGCGCGTGCACGCACGCACACACACACACAACATATATATACACACACACAACATACACACACACACACACACATATATATATATATATATATATTATAAATTAATTGATTTAAAATATGTTTTTTTTCGCTACACAGTTCCAACCATGTTTCAAAAATAGAAGCTAAAAACCCCGAAAATTCGCTTGAAGATGAAATGGAACTAATGCTTTTAATTTAATTGCAAAATTAAATTCGGGGTTTTTAGCTTCTATTTTTGAAACATGGTTGGAACTGTGTAGAAAAAAAACCATATTTTAAATCAATTATTTTAAATCAATTAATTTATAATATTAATGCTCTGTAAATTTACATTGAGCACTATTTTGTAAAAATAAAAAATATCTATAAGAACACCGGATTTTATATCTTACTGTTCTTTCTTTTATTTATATATATATATATATATATATATATATATATATATATATATATATATATATATATATATGATTAATGTGAGTAAAGGCTTATCACTAATAAAACCGATTCTATATCATGTTTTTCCTAAACACTTCCCCTAAAAGGAGAATCATTTTTTTTTATTTTTACGTTTCATCTCTTCTGAATACCGTAATAGGATTTTTATTTAAAAAAATAAAGGTTGTATGTAATCATAAATTGTGTTATTATTTGACACCAAAATGATAATTAATTTTTACTGAGAATATTATGTTATCTTAAATCTTCTTACTGCCATAATTAACACTGCTATGATGATTACTGAAAGTTTAACAAAAGATAAAGGTTGCTGTGAACGCAATCATAACTCGATGTTTACATTTTCTCAGTTGAGCTTGCATGGATACAAATTGACTTCAATGATATGGAATTATTCTTCAAATAGGCAATTTATTATGAAGTTATGCCATTAATAAATAAGGTAGAAATGGTTTTAGTACTTTTATTATCAGTTTATTTGGTAATGTAAATCTTTTCATGTACATTATAGGTTATCGCGCCGAGGCCGAGTTTAGCTTATCGACAAACACCAATCAGAATTTAAGGTTTCTTTTTTTACTATTGTAGTATAACGCAACCCCCAATTTTTAAAGGTGATTTTTTGGATTTAAAGGTCGTCTTATACGCGGAAATATACAGAATATACAATGTTAATTAAATTTGTCTTGTATTCGTACAAGTGATTCCTGGATATAGAGCGAGTAAAAACTATTCAAATGACCTGTAGATCCGAACGATTTTGACTAATTTATTAGCCATATTAAGGATGTTGACATCGAGGACAACACCCAGTGGCGACAGTCTGTTTCATGCAATCTTCATGTCGTTTAGGCATGAAACAGACTGTCTTCGCTAGGTGTTGACCTCAGTAATTTATATTTATAGCCGTTCCACCCCTGATATTGAGATTTTAATGAATACCTTTAAAACTATATTTTATCAATATATATATATATATATATATATATTATATATTATATATATATATATATTGATATATATATGATATATATATATATATATATATATATATATATATATATATATATATATATATATATAGTTTATATATATATATATATATATATATATATATATATATATATATATATATATATTGAGACATATTTCATTGAATAATTTAGACAAGTTTTGTCAACTTATTTTTCAATTTCCTTTCATATTCACGGACGAACTTTTTTGGTGTCATTATTAATGGGAGAAAGAAAATCGCCGTACAGATACAAATTATTTTATTCAGAGTACTTTCGACAGAGCACAATGTCATCATCAGGGTGTTGTTTATTTTGAGACAGATATTGCGGTGTTCAGCATTTTCAAACTCAAAATTAGTGTGTTCATCTGAAAGTTCAATTTGTTTTACTTCTGAAGTGAAGAACTCTGAGCGAGTACTGTGAATGGCTTGACTAACGCTTTTAAGTATGTGTGGCAAATTTTCAAGAAATAAGTATTGACAATGTTTGAAAACAACGTTTTCAACCTCCTGGAACCCTTGAAATAAATTTCATGTCTCCAAGGAACCCCGGCATAATTTTTTTTTAATATCTATCTATATATTTTTGTCACACTTTTTCAAAACTCCTAGAGGTCGTAGCCCAACATATCATACCATTTTGTGATCCGTGGGCAAATTCAAAACATTCTGGGCTGGATCCGAACTGGCTATACTAAAATTTTGGATTCCCAAAGTTTTCATTACTGCGATTGCTTTCCGATTCCGCCATTTTTTCCTACTGATAAAAACAATTAAAAGAGACGCAACTCTCTTTCAACAACTCAAATGAAAATTTATTTTTCTTAAATTGCAGTGTTTTAAAATCAAATTGTCCGTGTTTCAATTTTACTCCTAGAAAAAGCCCAAACGATAACTATTTTTTTCAGGAGACTCCTTGAACAAATTAAAAATAAAAATTTGGGAATAATCGAAATTAATTGCGAAATCCACCGA